TTGTACAAGGTTAGAAACACAAGAGTACGCACACACGCACACACACGCAATAAACTGGCATACAGGAATGTAATGGGTGTGTAGGGGACAGGAAGCTGTCGCCTCATTGTTCTCCAAACACGCTACAGTTATTTCAGGACCATGTGAGGAGTGTGTGTGTGTGTGTGTGTGTGTGTGCGTGTGCTGTGGTGGACCTAACTCAGAAATCTGCTTTCGCACAAGCCAGCACCAGTTTCATACTTTAACTTAATAGACCTTTATTTTGTCGTCCACACACACACAGCACCCAACCAGGAATCCTGCGAGTTAACGGAGCGGCAGTAAAGGGTTTGTGTTGTGTCCTCATGTCTGGCTGTGTCCCGCTCCCAACGCCACAATGTCTGGCATCTTGTAAGAGACTGGGTCACTCGTCTCCTATGTGATTTAAGTAGGCTGATTAGATGGCTGTATTCTTTTTTTTCTGTGCATCTAAATCTTTCCTTGTGCAGCTTTTAAGCTTTTCCACTTGCATAATTCAGTAATGTAGCCCTAGCTGTGCAGGGACTGCCCCACCTAGAAGAACGCCAGCATCATTTTGATTTCAGCTGTGAGTTTTGGACTAAGATGGATAAAAAGCTCCTCCTGTCCAGCCCACAAATCTTTTTGTTTTATAGGAAACACTTGTGAATGTGCATTGTCTCTGCCCATCATTCCTGTGTCCTAATGTTGGATGAAAGCTGTAGCAAATCAAATACAGGCTTCGGGCTCATACTTCCAGTGCATTCTGCCTGTGTGTAGCAGCAATGCCACAGCGTGCTGACAGTGTATTGATGTCAATGCCTGGGTCTGTTTTCACCAGGCTGTGAGTATATTTAGTCTCAAAGTCTCACCATTTATAAATAACCTGCAGACTTGACGCTGCTGCTGCTGGAGGAGAGATTGCTCTTACAGTATCTCACACAGAAGACCATTCAGGTATCAAGTCCCAAATAACTCATCCAAATTAAAAAAAAAACTAAGAAATATTTATTTCTGGAAGTCAAAGATTTGTTTTTATCCAAACGTCTTGGTCTTAAGAAATCATACATTTGGTCTGAAACCATTTGTAAAATACGGCTCCTTCTTTTTTTAATCAAATCAAGAATGAGGCTGGACGTGAGGCTTTGTGAATTTGGAATTGACCTGAATTCTCATCACGGAGTCCTGAATGAGATTCTTTTTCTTTCTATCAACAGAAAGGTGTCACCTGAGCTTGACAATTTTTACTGCTTATCCTCAAGCTCAGTGATGTTTCTGCCCTGTCTTGTGCTATAGCAATGGGAGGCAATAGCAATATTTCTCTTTCTTGTACAATGCACCCCTTAACTCAGACAGCTTTCCTGGAAATTGTCACAGTAACCCTTGTTTTGAAGAGGCATGTTGTTCATGCACCACTGTGGTTTTCTTGTGTGCATCACATCGGGACGTTCACCAAACACGATCAGAAGGTTTTCAGCCAATCTGAATAAAAAATAACTGAGGGATTCTTGGCTCTTTTTCGATGGATGATGCTGAAAGTGCTGATATGCCGTTGTAGAGGGGTTTGGAAGAAGAGGTGGCCGGAGTGATCAAGTGAGGGATTAAGGACGGCATTCATGTTAGCTCTGATGATTAGAGTGTAATCTTGCAGGTCACCCAAAACACTGTTGAGTTTGACACAGAAAGCCATAGTGATCACAGTATATACAGAGAAAGGCAACATTACAGAGACAGGTGGACTCTGAATAAATGCCTCTGCTCCAACACGACTAACTGTAAGCAAGGAGGAATCAAGGGCTGTATAGAATCTGGAAGTGCATCATTATGCAAATGGGACAGCTCTGCCTCTGCAGCAGCAGCTCACTTAGAATGTTACAGCTCTTGATCTCAAATATCGAAGGCGTGGCAGTGGGGCAGTGATGAGTCAGCTCTTAGATGCAGTTTACATATTTATATATATGCAGTCCACTAAATCACTTGTGTGTGTGAGAGAGAGAGAGAGTATTTTTGAGTTAATGGGTGCCTGGTGTTTGACTCAACGCACTGTATACTGAATGTATGTGCTGACAGCCTGGCGCCAGTGCCCCCTCCCTGACATTCTTTAAAGAGGGTTTAGAAAATCTGTGCAAACTGGGAGACAGGAATTGAACCTCATGTTTCTTTGTCCTCGGATGGAAGGTTTTCACAGCTCTGTGGTGGAGTAGAGGTCAGATACACTGGATCATTACGTTATCAAATGTATGCGCTATTGCAAGCTCTGACAATCAAATCTAATTGTAGTCGCTGAAATTGAATTAAATTCAAAGTTTTCCGCAGTATAATTGTATCAGAAGTAATTATCTGTTGCGCTGTGTCATGCTTATGTGGGACAGAAATATAAAAAATGTTTTTCTTTAATCCTGGCATATCCAGACCAATTTGCATTTGCATTCCAGTGGGACAACGCATCAGAAATGAGACAAACCACTTAAAGAATCTTGAATTGAAAAGATGGAAGTTGTAACAGCCAGTTATCTGTCGAATGGGGAAACATACAGTACCAATCGTGTTCTTGCAAGTGCACAGTTGTGTTTTTCTAATGTTTTAACTGGTGGCAGCAGGTGCAGACAAGATGGACAGATGAGTCAGTGGTGTTACATCACGGTGCTCTGCATGAAGCTGTAAAAGAGGGTTGCATCGTGAAACCTAGCATAGGCTCACTATGAGTATAATCTGTGGAAGAATCGTTTTCAGCCTTATTTTGGGGCAAACTCGTGAAAGGGTTTTTTCTCTCTGGTTTTACTGGTGATTCTATACATGAAGATTTTATGTGTTGATGACCTCTGACGTCTTCCCATTCATTTAGATAGGAGCCAGGTTTTGTGATCCTCACACAACAACTGGAGGGGTTTCCAAAGCTGTTTTCAGATAAGAACTCTGGAAAATGTCTGGAAAATTGGGTGTGGACATTTTCAGGAGTTTTTCTTGCACATATGACAAATGAAGCTGGAGATTGTACGTCCATGTAAATTTTAATGGCACTATTCTCATTGACATTGGAGTCCCTCTGGTCTAACGGTAAGATTTTATCAGTTGCATTATGGGGAAACGTAGTAGGCGTGCTTCTTTGTATTTATGTACACCTTCAGCCTAATTCATTTTTTGATTTTATTCATGAAAGAAACGAGTGGGGTTGAACTGTGTTGGACAGCGGGATGGAAACATGGCTGCAGAGGGAGCTGGCAGCCGGGCCTCCAGCTGCAGATTGAAGCCTTGTGCTAATGCAGTGGATTAGAGAAGATATTCTGTCAACAGTAAATCCTCCCATTCTCTGTTTTAATCCTGCTGCTGGATCAAGGACACTTACCTCCAGAGAGCTTCATGTTCATGTGTGCGTGTGTCCACTCATTTGTGATTGGTTTTATAAAGACAAGAGATGGCGTGTGTGCGTGCGTGTGTGCGTGCGTGCGTGCGTGTGTGTGCGTGTGTGTGTGTGTGCGTGTGTGTGTGTGGATGTGTGTTTATTGTAGGGTAGTGGATTTGCTGGTCTAAAAACAGAATGCATTTAAGGATGTTCCACGATAAACATTTTCAGAAAAGTAAGGATTCATTGTAGTTTATGTTTCATTTCCTTATTTACCATCTTCTAATGGCTACAGAAGAGTGCTCCGTATCATGGAGCAGAAGTTTTCTCTCGCAGGTTCCATGACATGACAATAAGTTCAGTGGACTTCAGTGGACTTCAGATGTGAATCCAGTAGAACCTTTGTGATGTGGTATAAGATTGTCAGCATGAATGTGCAGTTAAAGATCTGCAGAAATGATGTGATAGTAAGACCATTTTGAGAGCGAGTGCACGCTCTCTCTTTGCTGTTTTCCGTATACCTCTCTCTCCCTCTCACTTTCTAATGGCAGTACACTTCCCAGCTAATTCCAGGAGGGAGAGTCTGCGTGTGAGTGCGCATCTATTCAGTCTCGTCCGTGCAAGAAGGCTGGAGAGAGGGAGGTGGGGGAGTGGCAGCTGATAGATATGACCATTGCGGAAGCTCAGACATGATTCGGCGTAATCATCTCTCACCATGGCAACCGCATTGTGTGCATGTGTGGGGGGAGAGAGAGATGAATGAAAGAAAGGGGAGGAAAGAGAGAAACCAAAGAGGAGTGGTTTGTGTGTGTGTGTGCATTTTATAAGGGCAACAGGACATGTTTTTTTATCTATCCATCCAGCAAGTGGAATTGAACCTGTTAATCTTTAAAGTAGGTTCTGGTGGAGACATCTGTACAGTCAATATGTGGCTGACTGAGGGGCCTTTAGTTAGAAAGTCATTGTAATATCAAAGTGATGCAATATATTGAAAACTGAGTGTTGTGTTATTATAGCTCACATTAAATTTCAATAAATAATCTAAATGACACTGAATGAAACTTTTACAACAAATAACAACAGACCAGAGGTTCACACTCCAGAATCCATGGGTCTTAAAATGGCCTGACTGGGAATAGTGGAGACAGTTTTTATCTTCTCATCTGGCTTGTAATGAGTTTTTTTTGCACACGTGAACATCATGCCTCCTCTTCCCCTTACTCACCACCCCTTTATTTTCTCTCTGTCTCTCCTATAGGTCTCCAACCTTCCTCCACCCCTGTCCTCCCTGTGGATTGTAGGACCGCCCCGTCATCACCCCCTCCTCCCCTGACAGACGAGCGGAAGGATTCCTGGACCGCCTTTCATCCCTCTTTCCTCGACTCCCTCTGCCCGCATCCCATCTCCGCCACCTCCCCTCTTTTTTCTCATCATTGATACCTGTGTGATTTGCATAGTCCTCTAGTGCCCACAAGCAAAGCATCGCTCTGCCATTGACAAAAAATCGACCGGTGTGGCAGGGTGCTAAGAGCCATCATGAAAAACGTGGACATTTTCAGTGGGAACAGGATATAAACGAGTGATCGGAGGAAGCCTCAGCTGCTGTCGTTACACCTTGACTGATGACGAGTGAAGCGTGGGGACATTGAAGTGCCTTCCCCCAAACGAACACCAGTGCGGCCAAAGAGATGTGCGGCGAGGAGTTCAAACCCCAGACCGTTCTACCAGCTGTATTTTAAAAGTAGATCTTCCTCGGACACTGCACCGCTCTCGCCATCCCTCCATTCTCACAGTTCCCTCCCTCTATCATTTCTCTTCTTTTCATCACTTTGACCTCCCTGACCCTTTAGTGTTCTTCCCTTTGGTCTGGTGATGTCACGTTTAAGCTAAAAAGGCCTGACTCCCCCCTCCCTCTCCCCTCTTCTTTCATTTCTTCCTTACGTCTACCAATCCTACACCATTCGTCCCTCCCTTGCAACAGCTGTCCTCCCCCTTCGCCCCCGCCCCCAGTCATCCTCCCCGTCACCCTCCACCTTCTCTGCCCCATCTTCTCCCCACCACTACCACCATCATCATCATCACCACCACCACCACCACCACCCACACCCTCAGCCCCACTCCCACCATCGCCACCACCACCAGCTCTCCTCCTCTCTCCCTCCCTTCTCCCCCACCTCCTCCTCAGCGGGAACCATGGCGATGGCTGCCACCACTTCATCGTCCTCCCCTTCTGCATCATCGTCGGGAAACAGCAGCGCACGGGAACAACTGCTTGCGGTTCGCCGGCGCACACCACACATGCGGCCGTACACAATCGGGCCCGACAACCTCTGCAGCATGTCGGTGCAGGGAGCAGTCGGGGGCTCCACCTCTGGGTCCTCTTCCTCCCCCATGTCGTCAGGGGTCCAGCCAGAAACAGCGAGTGTGGGACTCCAGCGGGCCAACAGTGACACAGACCTGGTTACTTCTGACAGCCGCTCATCACTTACGGCGTCTACGTACCAGTTGACTCTTGGTCACAGCCACCTGATCATTTCCTGGGACATCAAGGAGGAGGTAGATGCCACTGACTGGATCGGCCTGTATCACATCGGTGAGCAAACTCAAAATCACCTCCCCTCATTAAAGTACAAAATCACTATATCTAGATTTATTGTTTACAGCAGAATCTGGCAACACCCATCAGTCCCCTTATGAATCCAAAATTAAATTCACCAGATCCAGATTTTTATTTGGATCTGTAATCCTGCTAACTAACAGACGGACAAACAAAACAAAAACATAACCTTATTAGTGGAGGTCAAATCGAACCAAGCCACTTGAACTTTAAATTTTTATATCCGGTCTGATGTTTGTGGGTGAAGATGCAATATTTTATTGAACCTCAAATGCACATCTACTTTATCAGACCATCTTACTGTAACATCACAGCACAGCTCTTGCCTCTCAGTTATTGATGAGCTATCCATTATGGTCTATTCTTGCTTGCTCATCATTATAATTCTTATTCTTCCTGCCTACTCCCTATGTCTCGTTACCATGATGTCTCTTCCTCTGTCTGTCCACACACTGATCCTCCTGTTCGTTCCTTCGGTGGTGTAATAAAAAGGATAGTAATGCAATAGCACTACTGAAGAGGTTGTGACTTGTAACTCATCTCCTCAAGGTTAGAGCATTACATCAGCCCCTCTGCTGCTACATTAACTGACTAATGGATAGTGTGATAGTGGCATGTGTGTGTGTGTGTGTGTGTATGTGTGTGTGTCTGTGTGTGTGTTTGCAAGAAAAAATATGGTGAGAGAAAGTAAGTAGGTTACCCTGATAAAAAAGTGATGCTGACTCAGCCTCAGTAGCATTTAAGAGGAGTATGTTTGCGTATCTCATATTACAGTCTCCCTCTTTCACTCTCACACACACACCCCCCCCACATTCCTCCTCCTTGTCCTAGAATGACGTACTGTCACAAAACAAATAAGCAGAAATATATATTTATGACTAGAGGTTTAAGTACATGCATAAATCTCTCAATACATTTTTTTCGGAAGGAAGTGTATTGTGATACACGAAAGCTCTCCCAAAACTTTCTACACTGATGTAAACCTGCTCTCATTATGAATGAGAGTTGGCACTTTAATGTAGAATCAAATGTGTTATTTCAAACTAAACGTTCTGAAGCTCAGAGCCTTTACACAAACGCTCAGGTGACCAATTTCGTGTGTGTGTTGTGGAGGAGAATGGATGTGTGCACAATCCTTTATCAGAGAGTGAGAGACAGAGGAAGCCGGTGAAAGGTGATCTCTCCATCCCTCCGACCTCTCTGCAGCTCCTCTGCAGTATTGATCCAGGCAGGGGGGGATTTTCAGGTTTGTCTCCCCAGAGATAAGCACTGATTCCAGCCTGGCTGCTGGCCACATTCTCCTGGAGCCAGGAGCCGCATAACCTCACGCTGCTGTCTGGGTTGTGTGTGGGTTTTTGTGGGTTTGTGTCACACCTCTCACACTGTAGTTTGTTTATGTGGTTTGGAAGATTCCAGGGTTATCAGGTCAGACAGGTGTGTGTGTGTGTGTGT